TATATTAGAGAATGTAGATGTAGAAAAATATTTGTCACCAGGAGTATTAAACTATCCTTGAGGCAAAATTTTTAAATTAAACAATAAAAATATTGAGCAATAAAGTGTCTCTGGGGTATATCCCCATTTTTAATTTTTTTTAAATTGGCTTTTTAAAATATGGTATGTACATTTAATAATAGCTTATCTCTGAAGGTTATAAGGAATATCTGTAATGTGTAGGATCAACCACTCTAAACAGAATGTTTTCAAATTTTTACTAGCATATGTAAGTTTACTGTTTGTATTAATAGTAGAGTAGGGCCCAGTGCTGTGGCCTAGCATCTAAAGTCTTCACCTTGCATGCCTGGAATCACATATGGGCACCAGTTCTAATCCTGGCAGCTCCACTTCCCACCAAGCTCCCTGCTTGTGACCTGGGAAAGCAGTCAAGGATGGCCCAAAGCTTTGGGACCCTGCACCCACATGGGAGATCTGGAGGAAGTTCCTGGCTCTTGGCTTCAGATCGGCACAGCACCGGCCTTTGTGGTCACATGGAGAGTGAATCATTGGATGGAAGGTCTTCTTCTCTGTCTCTCCTCCTCTCTATATATCTGACTTTGCAATAAAAATAATATAAATCTTTTTTTTAAAAGTAGAGGAAATTTTATAATTAGAAAATAAGTGAAAAGGAAAGATTTAATAGTTGAAGTATTAAAACCACAGATTTTGTGCAAAAGAATTTAGAAAATTTGTAAGATAATATCCATGAAGAGGTAATTAAGTTATCTGGTTGCTTACATGTGTTTAGGCAGTATTACAGAAAACTCTAGTTATTATTTTGTCATGGGAACATCATGTTTTAAATGATCCGTTTTTCTGTATTAATAGTGATTTCACTATCCTCAAGTTCTACTTGAGGAGCTCAGCTTCTTCTGTTACCCAGGCTGCACTTGTGTCAGGATTGCCTTGAATATCGACCTGATAATGTGAGCTCATAGGCTTACCCAGTCAGCAGCGCTGTGAGGACAAAAGGACCCCTGGGTATGTTCAAATTCGTGACCATGGCAACTCTCTAACCAGGAATCTGTTTGTGTCAATCTTACAGTTTTCTTTTAAGATGAAATATTTGGGTTAGTAAACAAACATTGTTATTTATTTCATCTCACAAGAAAGGTGTTTTAAATTATAAAGTGTGGAAACAGGTATTGCATGTTCTGAGAAGATTCTTTGTTTCATAATCAAAATGGATTTAAAACCTTTACATTCAGTATCTGATATTGCCAGGGAAATTGCTTCTGACATAGTAAAGGGTTGAGCCAAACAACAGAGCAGGGAATATCAGTCAGAGGTTGAGTTGCCTAATTGCCCTCTGCCTCCTTTATGGGTTTATATGTGTTTTTTGTGTACTTTAAATCTGGAGCCTTTTACCAGCCGGTGCGAAACGCCCATGTACTGCACACACACTGAAAGGGAGTTTCCCATGCGGAAAGACCTAAACCAAAAGTTTGCTTGCCTTGACCTTTCACATTTCTATATCAGACTTCTTCCTTGCGACATTCCACATCCCCACTCATGTCCTCACATTAGGAGACAGATGTTGAGAATTAATAAACAAAGTGCTAGTTATTTTTAAAAGGTTAAAATTCTAGTTCATATGTTATTACAATATTATTATGATATTATTACGCACAGCCAATTCCCGCAACCTGGTTCTTCACCGACAGCTGAAAACATCAGGCACAACGAGGCATCTTAGGAGGTTTATTCCAGCAGCAGGAACAGGACAGGGTGGTGGGAGAGCAGCAGAAAAAGGGGAAGATGGAGGCACCTGGGGCCCGTTATGTTCAGGTAGGCCTGCAAGATGTGGGGGCGGGATTGGAAGGGACTGAGGGCAGACCCCAGGGCATTGGTGCCTGCAGGTGAATGCCTAGGGATGATGGTGAGTGGGCAGGGTTGGGAGATTGGGGTGGGATTCTCAGGTGAAATGCCAGGTTACATTTGATCGGTGGATGGCTAGACTGGCGTGAACTAACAAATCCCTGAGCTAGTGACACTGATGAAAATGGTTTGGTAAACCCTCTTATCTGACACTGTGACCCCTCAGGAAACGCCACTGAGAGTGGGCATTTAGACTGAGAGAATGAAGTTCTACTTGAGGAGCTCAGCTTCTTCTGTTACCCAGGCTGCACTTGTGTCAGGATTGCCTTGAATATCGACCTGATAATGTGAGCTCATAGGCTTACCCAGTCTGCAGCGCTGTGAGGACAAAAGGACCCCTGGGTATGTTCAAATTCGTGACCATGGCAACTCTCTAACCAGGAATCTGTTTGTGTCAATCTTACAGTTTTCTTTTAAGATGAAATATTGAAGGAATGTTGTTCATCAAAAAGGTTGAAACAGAGGAAAAAAGTGGAAAAGAAGGGATGTGAGCTGAGAAAAAACAAGCCGTGTTGTAATAATACCATTTCCACATCTCAGTATAATCACATGAACACAGTTTCGAAAGTGAGGAACAAGCAGATATGGCCCAAGACCTCACTGTGGTAAGAGTATTCAGAGGGCATGCTGGAGGGCCAGTCTCCTTGGATCTGGCCAGGTTTTGTTTCTTCTCTGAACCTCAGGGTTCTCCTCTGTGAATATCTTTTAAAGCAGTACCCACCTCTCTGATTTAGAATAAGTCCACTAAGTCATACAGAATCAGCATAGTTCCTGTACATATGACTGAATGGTTATCAAATCCCAGCTCATCACTCAAACAATTTATTCATTAGTAGGATGTTGCTTTCAGGTCTTTCAATTGGAGACTTATAATACACACATGTATTTAGATGATTCTCTTTTTAATCTTTGAAATTAGTGCATTCATTTTGCAAACCCAGCACACGTAAACCTTCACCTGTGCTATCCTCTGGTGTTTTCCAGAGAAACAGAAGCACCATTGTCCAGCTGGTGTTTGACTAGGAGACTGCTAATGTAATAAGGTGGCTCAGGTCTCAGAGTCACACCACAGGAAAATGGATTAGCTTTGCCCAATGACGTCATTGCTTGATGTGATTAAAGCTCCCTTCACTTTTCTTCTCTATGGGGAGTATGTAAATTCCACATATTTGGATAATTGAGAAACAAATATTAAAGTCTGCTCACAGAGGGAACATCTAGTGTATGTCCTTGCTAGGATGGACTCTGGGACTTCTGCTGAAGACAGCAATTTCAACAGCTTGTACGGCTGTCCGCTGAGACAGATGCATCTGTGCTTTCTCGGATTGTGAGCAATACAAAGTCATCATCAAGACAGTGCTAGGGCAGAAGCTAGCAAGCAAAGAGGAGCAGCTGGCAGAGAGACCACCTGTCACCAAGAAGCTGAGGCAGTTAAAGTTGGCCAATTCAAATTGTGTGAACCTCTGTGCTGGGCAGTGCAGCTGGCACAGCTATGAATTCAGTTGCACCAGGACAATTACATGACAGACATATGTCTCACAAATATTTATAAAATAAATACAAAGAGCATGATGAACACAATTGCTGCAAGTCTCTTCTCTCTAAAGCACATGCTGAACTGATAGTCATAACATAAAATACCCAAATGAAAAGGAACAGCTCAGTGGCATTTAGTGCACTGACAATACTGCACAGTCATCCCCACCGTTACTCTCATCAATGTCAGTGACCTCTTATCTGACCAACACTGGTTTCCTGTTTCTCTTGTTTTCCCAAATTATCAGTTCCTCCACTTCACCATGAACACCAGCTATGTCCAGCTACATTTTTGCTGTGGCTTTCTGCCCAGTCATTAAATAATGTACCATGAGTATTTTCACATGCACTTGCCCATGGCAAAATTGAGGAATCAGAAGAGTATCTATTGAAGCAATTGTCAGAAGACTCATGGCTCTGACAAGGGAATGAGATGAGGAAAACCTTGACGGCCCTTATGGGAACAGAGTCTGATCTCAGGTTGGGAACTTTCTGCTACTTCACCATTTCTGTTTGCCAGTTAGACTGACATTTGGGAGTGGGACCCCAGATCACCTCAAAGCAATCTCTATCAAAGTTCACGAGGTCTATCATTCAGCTCCTGCTGTTCCTACATATTCTCCCTATCTCTCACATTGGGCATTACAAAATCCTCATGCAAGACCAAGACCTAAAGATGAGTCAATTAAGGCAGAAGATACAAAATCAAAAGCAAATAGCCCAACCACCCCCATATGCATCTTACCAACCTTCTCACCTTGGATGGCTGTAACAGCTACTTGGGCCATAGACTCCTAGAGCAACTGGCTGAGCTATGGAGGATGACAGAGTATGCAGGATATGCAGTCTACCCAACAATGGCTCTTCTCATCACCCTCCAATTGTTTCCTTATTGAAATTTCTATACACGGTTCTTTGAGCATATGTGGCTGTTGAGGTTAGGTGCCACTCTTGTCCTCAACATCAAAGACATGGTTCCTAAGATTCCTGCTTGGAGCCCTAGGCGCTGAGTTGGCCTCAGTAAACAGTCATCTGACTAACACATCATAACACTCCTATCGCCCATGTGAAGAATTTACATTGAAGCAAAGCTGAATTCAAACTAAAGTAACATATTCACTCACATGAACCAAGTACCCTAAATATTATGTCTTTGTGAATGTCTATATACATGGCATCCATTAATCTAATCTCAGTGTCAGTGTACATCGAACCATCAGCAAGCATTCTATCTGCTGTGTCAAATTGAAATGACACTTCCAGAGAACTGTTGGGTAATTCTGTATTAAAATAAATTTTTTCTTTGTCTTTTTTTAATATTTATTTTTAATTTTTATTGGAAACACAGATATACAGAGAGGAGGAGAGACAGAGAGGAAGATCTTCCATCCGATGATTCACTCCTCAAGCGGCCTCAAAGGCTGGAGCTGAGCCACTCTGAAGCCAGGAGCCTCTTCCTGGTCTCCCACGTGAGTGCAGCGTCCCAAAGCTTTGGACCATCCTCGACTGCTTTCCAGGCCACAAGCAGGGAGCTTGGTGGGAAGTGGGACTGCTGGGATTAGAACTGGCGTCCATATGGGATCCTGGGTGTGCAAGGCGAGGACCTTAACCACTACATGACCGCGCCGGGCCCAAAAAGGAAAATTTTCCATCTGAATTCATTCCACTCTATACATGGGGCACATGTTGCTACATCACAGCAGCGACTGTCCACAGGCTGGCTCAGGAAAGCAAGGTCACTCACTCACAACAGGACACACTCTAATACAATGATGCCAGAACAGTGTCTTGGATTGCCAGAGAATATATGTATCCTGGTATTTATGATATTTCATGCAAGATCTCTGTACTGCAACTGGCTCTATTTGATTTTATTTACAAAAAAAATTCAAAAATTGGCAAAGATAAAGAAGGGCAACAGCCACTGCACCACAGGTAAGTCTGATCTTCCAGGAACATTAATGCCAACTGAGAACATACTTACAGATCTCCTCTGTCCTCTGGAGGATAACAGATCTGCTGAGTTCATCATCTTCCACCTGTCAGCCTCCCACAGATGAACCCTTGAAAGACATTCTTTGTTGTGGTTTGGTTAAAACTTTTGGAGATTTCTCAAGTGATGAACAATAAGCTGGGTGAAGTTTAATGACTCATTTATCTTGATGCTCACACACTCTGCCTTCTCTCTCAGGGAGTGAGGTAACTTACTTTGCACTGTTTGCCTTGCTTCATTATCAAGGAAAAGAACCTAGAGAAAAGAATATCCAGGAAGTCATCACATATAGGTGTACAATGGTTCAGTTTCATTGTCTTTCTTAGTAACAGAAAAATAACACGTATACAGAGGTCAACTTACATGTGCCAGAATTCCATTTGAAGGAGACTCCCTGAAGAAGCAGTCAAAGAATCTCTCTCACATTCTTCTCACTTACTTTCCAAATTTCCACTCTAATGGTTCATCTTCTATCTGTCTTAGAAAATATGGTGCCCTAATATATGACCTGGCATAAGATGTGGCCCACACATACCAGGAATTACAGGAAAGCAGAGCACAAATATCTTCATCCAGGATGATTCTGTCCTTCAGGAACAACAGGACAAGTGGCAGAAGCACAAAAAGCACCTTTTCAGTAGCTTGGTCCAGGTAAGATGAACACAAGCCTGACGACACAGCTGCTCTAAGGTCCCTGTCTCAGAATGCTCTATACCTCCACTAGATTCATTAGGATGGAATGACAGCGTGGAGACACTCTGCCATGGAGGTCAAGGTTGGATTGGAGTGATGGAAATCCTGGAAAAATCATGACATTTCCACAGATCCTGTCCTTGGTGCTATATCTACTGAGAGTGGACAATGTCACATTTATCCTTTCTCAATCACTGATTATTCATCTACAGTCTGTCACACAGGTTTGGAATATCTTAGTAGCCGTATCACCAAAAACAGGTATATATTATAATGGATCTAAATGATGATGCCTTCACTGTGCAGAGTTGAATAAGGGCCACCATGTTCTGCCTGATAATCCTCAAGTGGATGTTCTTTACACAGAAGCATGGATATTTATCAGAATATAGCATCCTGTTCCCTGCTCAGCATCTCAGATGGATGTGTGATGTGGTAGGCATGGATGTGAACAATCTTTAACCACCAGTTGTGTTGATTTAAGACATACTCCTCTTTATGCCATTCTGGGTCATCATGGTTCTTTCGGTGGGTCTCAGGACTAATGATTCAGGATACAGACACTTTGCATTGAGGAAATATGATTCAGTCCAAAAGTCCATGGAAAATGTGTCTGTACGAACACCAATGGATTTCAAACATCTATTTCAATCCTATCTTTCAATTCAAAATTTCCACAATCGATGGATGTTCTCTAATGTTAAAGACACATTTATCAAGGAGAATAGCTTTTTCACAAAAATTTGGACTCAGGGGTGCATATGTTGGAAGTGAGGAAGGGTTCTGCCTGTACCACGACAGCAATAATAACTGGGATTGGACAATGATACTTGGTGAGAAAAGGGTAAGATGAAGGACTGCAGAGGCTGAGTGAGGAGGAGATCAGGCACCAGGCCATTTTGAGAATTTTCAACAGCAGAGAAGAAGCATGCACACCTAAGACTATTGACACCTTTGATTCAATGTACACACAACAGGATCAGAGATTTTGATAATCTAGATATTAACAATGGAAGTCTGATTAAACAAGAACAAGGATACCAAGGCATTTGTAAGGAAACATGGACAATCAAGTGTAGAAAGAGGATGCCTGCAGAAGGTAATGAGGGGAGCCCCCGGAAGCATGCAGCCAGCCATGCCCTGATCTCTCTCCTCAGCATGGAAGACTGTCTATTGGACACTCAATTGAGTGTAATTTTTTAAAAAAATAACTTCAATTGAGGATATTGCCCAGAGTCCCCTGGGTGGTGTGAATACATGGAGTCTGCAGTTACACCTTAACTCTGCCCACTAAGTCACTAGCATCATTACTTACTCCTTCTAGCACACACTGTATCCCAAAAGGAAGCACATATTCGGACAGTTGATCAGAAATTACATATGGTGAGAAGTTCACAATGGTACAAAATCTTAGGATGTCACATAATAAATGGTCCACAGCACAAACTTTTCCTCAGGTCCTTGTAGAAACCGAAGAAGTGCTTTTCCTCATATGGTGATAAGGGCCAATGAGAGATACCCATTATGAGAGAGAGGGAGGGAATAAAGCAAGTGGCATGAGGCTAAATTGAGTCCAATCATTCTTTCTTGGCCACTGTGCTAGGTAATGAGCACCTGATCAGGTGATACTTAACATGAATGCCTTGAGCTCACAGTTTGAGGTTTTCACCTAAGGAATTGACATGTGTTGTGAAAGTCAGAATTATGTCACGACACTCAGGTGATTCTGACCCACAATATTTCAGGTCAGCAACATGGAAATGCTTCAAATTGGGGCCACTCTAAGGAAAAGGATCAACATTCACCAGCCATAAGAGAATCATACCCTCCTCTCACCAGTAATATTTACATAATATGAGAGAACATTGGGTAGACTGTAGCAGTTTTATTTAATGCTCATGTGCTCAAATTGTTCAGAGAAAAAAAAATGGAGTGGGTTGAATATGTTCAAACACAAGCTAATCCTTTTGGTTACAGATCTTCCTTATTCTGGCAATTGAAAATATTTCAAAATGCCTTATGGTATAGCCTGGTGTGAAATCAACTGTAAGGATTTAGGAGATTGTATTGGGCCATAGTTACCATTCCTATCTCTTCGTTCCTTTTGAATTTCACCTTTTCTTTCATTTCTCTGAACCTTAGGTAGACTTAAAAGTCTTTGTTGTAAAAGTCATACAAAGTTCCTTGCTAAGATGTCCCAATATCCTTCACGGAATGACAAATAATCTTCCAACCTTTATGGAATTGACCTGCAGCTTATGTGTAATTATTAGGTTGTCGTTAATGTGTCATGTGGTAATTCAGGTAAATATCAGCCCCATCACCACCTTCTTGTAAAGCATGGAAAGGCACTTGGATGGTGTCTGATGTCCCTGCTGACTTTCGCATCTTGGGTTTCTGCTATGGCTTGCCCAGGCTGCACTCAGAGATTTGGAGATGGAGCTCAAACAGAGACTATGTCTCTGTAAAGGCTTGTCTACTTCTATAACAACTGGTTTCTGGATGTTCATGATGGATATTATCGGCATCCCTAAGAGAGAAGTAGGTACAGCCATTACACTTCAGCCATTACAATCAGCAGCAGTAGCAGCAGGATCTTAGGTGATGCCACAACCAGCATATTGAAGGAGTGCAAGAATCCTGCATTCTGCTCCACAGGCTGAGGTGTAAATTCAGGGAGGGTCTATTCTAGCTGTGAGTAGCACACTCCCTTTGGCAGGCTTAAAGCCCTGTCCCTCACCACATCCTCTCCTCAGGAGCCAATTCATTTTCTGGCCTGTAGAGGAGGGCATGGAAAGAAGGCCTCCTGGATCATCTATCAGTAACACCTACAACGAGATTCCCATTTGCTTTCTCTCTCTCTCTTCTCTCTCTCTGACTCCCCTTCTCTCTCTCTCTCTGACTCCCCTTCTCTCTCTCTCTCTGACTCCCCTTCTCTCTCTCTCTGACTCCCCTTCTATCTCTCTTCTCTCTCTCTCTCTCTCTCTCTCTCTCTCTCTCTCTCTCTCTCTCTCTCTCCCTTTCACATATCAAAGATCCTGAAGCTATGAAAGGATATTATTAAAACAAAAAACACAACAACAGAAAATTCCTCACTGAGAAATGAATTTCAGTATCACCTTCCACACTTGGTAATTTCTAATCCCACAGACCAGTTGGAGGAGAGACACAAGAGTCCATCAGCCTCCACTTGGGATAAACACCTGAGCAGACCAAGGCCCAGAGATCAGACCTTGGGAGTCCTCACTCTCATTCCCATCCTGCAAAGAAGCAGCATCAGGACCAGCTGCCATGTGACAACAGCCCAACTGAATATGCACTGTCTCCACATGGGATGCTCCAGGAGCAGCCAGGATTCAGCAGGCAGTGCTCTTGCTGAAGAGGTTTACCCTGGATGGAATCATGAGGAAATTACGTAAAAACAGGAAAATATAGAGCATTGAGTGAGACAACTGACCTGGCATGTCTTCTTCATGGAATAACACAAGCAAACGTAGAAGAACCATGTTGGACTTAAATAGAGTATGAAAATTATCTATTGCATTTCTTTAGTCCTGTGGAACCAAAACTATCTTATCACATTTTTGTTATCATTGATGACCATGACAGATCAATATTCTGGCCCAATGGTCTATATTCTGGAATTTTTCCATAGCTTTTCATGATTCCTTTCAGATGAAACATTTACACATGAACACTGCACATACTTAGTCCCAGATGCATCCTATCACATCCCATGTGGAGGCAACAAGTTCAGCATGTCCACCTCTGTTGTCAATTAGCTAGGTAGGAGACTAACAGATCTGATCCTTGAAAACTTCAGTATATGGTCTATAATTAAAAAATCAGGAGAGTGTTCATTTGAGAATATACTATCATCTCATTCCACAGACATCCCTGCTTGTAGCACTTCATCTACTTGTGATCACACCTTGGAAATTTTTTTTATTTGATTTTGATTTAAACTTGAATTCCCTGATCTTGTGTTACGGAAACAAATATTTGCTTCCAGAATGCTAACACTAACCGACCTCTTTTCTACTACAAAAAATAACAGCTCTCCTTATCATAATTAAATGTAATCTGAATTTTCTTTAAAGATGCAGACAAGTTTTCCAAAAATGAATTCCAAATCAAAATTGATTCTGCTACCAAAAAATAACACTGCATTCTAGAATTTCAACCTTAACCAAATTTTCTTTTGCTATGAAACTCTCTGCTTCCCAAATTTTTCTTATTCAAAATTGTCTCCTGTTTAAAAATATTAAAAATTAAAATTTTTTAAAGACTCATTTATTTTTACAGGAAAGGCAGATATTCAGAGAGAAGGAGAAACAGAGAGGAAGATCTTCCATCTGATGATTCACTCCCCAAGCAGCCGCAACGGCTGGAGCTGAGTCAATATGAATCCAGGAGCCAGGTGCTTATTCCAGGTCTCCCACGTGCGTGTAGGGTCCCAAGACTTTGGGCCGTCCTCGACTGCTTTCCCAAGTCACAAGCAGGGAGCAGGATGGGAAGCGGGGCTGCCGGGATTAGAGCTGGTGTCCATATGAGATCCCAGG